GGGGGTTGATTAAAGAACACAGGCTCTGAGCGCTTTCTGAATAAAGGTAACAGCACAGAGACCATAAAAACATATAACAGTTTTGTCTTCTGACTGTAAATGTACATACATCCTTTAATAATTAACTCTAATGAAAAAAGACGAGCTGACTTTTAAATGAAAAAGCACGGCTCGTATTTAGAGAAGTCCAGATAGATCTGCTGAGCAAGCAAACGTACCAAAAATACGAATGGCAAAATGGACAGAGAGGCAGACAAAAGGATAGATTGTACCTTGTTAGAGAGACAAACAACCCGTCATACAGTTTGTTTGTTAGAGTAAAGCACGGTGACACAAAAATTGCCATTTAGTTCTGGGGGAAAAGTAAAGCAGACAGACAAAAATAACAAAGGGAAAGTAAAGGACCTACCAGAGGCGTCCCCCTCCCCCAACCTGCTACACACTGTTTTAGTTTTAGTTTTAGTAAGAGTTTTACGGCACTTGCAACATAATAAGGTCATATAAGTGCCGAAGATCAGAGGTGTTACTGTACAAGACAGAAACAAACACAAAAAAGAAGGAGGGGAGACAAAGACTATAGATGTTTGGTAGGAAAGAAGAAGCAAGCAAACCACCCCAGAGCACCCACCAACCACCCACCACACTGTTTTTATGTGGAGACGAAAACATAAACAGCAATATAGGCTGACGGGTGAACAAACCATGTAAGCATAGAGAGACAGACACACTGACAGACATATAAAAGAGCCAGGCAGGGTAACATTATACATCTATAATATAATATAACAGTCTCTCACAAGGGTGGCCCAGTGAAGCTCCGTTAATGTGGCTATAATTTCTTAGCATTTTGCAGCACTTTTTGGTGTCTGCCTTTATCAGCCTCTGGCACAGAACTTCGTCCTGACCTGGTGATGACACTACAATAAAACATGCCCTTTGTGTTTTGCTTCACGTTTTATTTGTATATTATGATTGCGGCCGGGGGCGGTAGTTCAGGCCAAAAGCAGAAGCCCATTTCATACTACAAACGTGGTTGGGACACAGAAACACAATACGACCCCATCGCATATTATTTCTATAATTTTACACGACAGTTACGTAATAAAGACGACACAATTTGAAAACAATGTACTCCTACGCAGGGTCAACAAACGAAGGTCAAAAAGAATAACTTGTTCGTTTCAATATATAATAATACTTTTATATATATACATATTATATCATATATTTCTTTACTTGTTTGTTGCTATTTTTTTATAAAGAAAGCAAACAGCTAAACTATAAACATGAGGGACAGAACGCGGAAGAGACCACAACAAATATTTTAAGTTACAAAAGGCCAACAACCGTTGCATTAGCGAAAGAGCCACAAGGGCGTGAGCCGTAACGATCGAGTGCTATCTCACGGTGCCTCTGTTAATGAGTTTACACAATGGTGACAGTGGGTAAGTAATTATTCTCAGTGCTCGTTGTCGTGTAGCCCGCCTGTACACAGATGGCCTCCCTATTTCATGTGCATTTTACGACGTCTGTGGCGAGTTTACGTATGCTGGCTGGAGGCAACGCAAATGTCGCCGTTGATCGTATTGGATACTTGCTTGCTTTGAAATCGTGTAGATAGGGGGAAGGGGGCAGTGCGCAAGTACAAGTACACAAGTCTGCCTGTACACGACCGTCTTTGTTAAATATGCGTTTGCGTATGTGCATGTGTGTGCGCGAGCGTGTGAATGTCCGTTTGAAGATATGTGTGAGTGCGCGTGCGTGTGTTAGTAGGTGTGTGTGTAGGGGGGTGCGCGCGCACGCGCACGTAATTATAAGTATCTGCTCCACTGCTAGTCAGCATGTACGTCTCTGTAGACACTTTTAAAACATTGTTTAAAAGTGTTTTTTCTGTTTTTGTAAGAGTTTCAGGGCACTTGCAACACAATAATGTCATATTATAATAAGTGCAAAAGATTATAGGTATTACAAGAGAGAAACAAACACAAAAAAGAAGGAGAGATCAGAACGATAGATGTTTGACAGGAAAGAAGGAGCAAACCACACCAGAGCACCCGCCAACAACCCACTTTTAAAAATGTTTGCCCGTAACATTAGGCAGATGTTTGTTAACACGAAAGACAAACCACCATTTCACTTCGAGGTGTGTGTGTGTGAGTGTGTATGTTAGTGTGTGTGTGTGTGTGTGTGTGTCTGTGTGTATGTGTGTGTATGTGTGTGTGTAAGCGCGCGAACGCAATTATAATAAGTGTGTGCCCTACTGCAAGTCAGCATGCACGTCTCAGTAGATACTTTTAAAAAATTGTTTAATTGTGTTTGCCCGTAACATTATCCGGATGTGTGTTTACACGAAAGACACCCCACCATTTCACCTTGAGGGTTAAAATCTTGAGCTACAACGGCATGATGCATGCGATGCTTGCAATACTGACACGCTTCAATCTATGTAGACTACACATGACGTTGTGGATAGTT